GACAAGGGCGATACAGGAGCTAAGGGCGATAAAGGTGACAAGGGCGATACAGGAGGTAAGGGTGATACAGGAAACAAGGGCGACAAGGGTGATACGGGAGACAAAGGCGACAAAGGCGACAAGGGAGCTACAGGAGCTACAGGAGCAGTGGGCCCACAAGGACCTTCAGGGGCTGGAAATCTGACACAGTGTGTTGTGAAGTTTGATCAGTCCGATGGCACAGCGATTGGCGACAAGAAACAGGATATAGAAGTAATAGAAGAAACGGTACGTGTACTACTAAACTTCATAGAGAAACCAAAGAAATTGACAATTGATTTATTGTAAGTTCGATATCTCTGGAAAGAAAGCACAATTCATTACTTTTAGTCTGGCCTTCATGTCCAACCGCTATAAAGATACCCACTGATATCCCCTACAGAACATACCATCCATTTCATCTTGATTTCATTTGGTCTTGACGCACAAAATCAGTTTGTATTGTCTGTAAAACTAGTTTCGTTTTATTGAAAACCTCCTCAGTTACAAGACTTGTCTAACACTCGTTGTCTACGTACCATACATACATACATACCAACCATGTTGATTTATAATATTAGAAATCTGGACCGTTACATAAATAACATAAATTTGCTTTTTCGTTTCAGGGAAAAAAGATTTTGCATTATTCGTGCTCTTCAAACAACGCAGACATTGTGCAACGAGGTCATAGGTTCCATGATCACAAGAATAAATACTCGTGTTTGTGTTTAGGGAAAGGAAGTTACACATATCCATCATCAACTCCATCTAAACCTGACAAAATGTACTGTTACATAACTTACACAGAATGTCCGCTTATATCTTAAATGTAAAAATGTAATTTCCCAGAATTACGATCACTGGACTTATAAAATCCCTTGTTTCAATTCGATAATTTTTTTACAAAGCTGTTCTATTAAAAAAATCCATTAGTACACGTATCGTTTGGGATGGAACGAAAACGCAGAACTCTATCATGATCAGTTAAAAAAGTTGCCGACTTATTTGTCAAACTAAATTTGAATAACTTGTACTTAATAACTCGCTGTTTTGCATGTCTCGTCATGATCTTTTTGATGTATGACACGCTATTATACTTTGATTCCGCTATAAAGACTGTGGACAATTATTTGAAATCATGTACATATAGCTATTTCATAAAAGGTTGTCAGATGAAATGGCAACTGGCAATTGTAGCTAATTGTTGAACGTTGATTGCACGACTGAAAGTAGACCCAAAGTAGCCATGGGTTTTACTCATTGATTGAAAATAACTGATTTATACTACAAGACAGTCTGTGGTAAACATTGGCTCCATTTCTATGCAAGGTGAATCTAATAAGTGAAATTTTGTTTGTCAAACATTGTAACCAAAGTCCCTTTCGGTCGTGCATTCTACCTTCGACAATTGCCGTTCGTCGTTCTCCCCGACAACATTTTTCCTAATAGCTGTATACGTTTGTAAATAATCAGAATTCAAATACAACACGTTAAAAATTTTAAACAGTGTTTAGCTTGTTATTAATTCAAGATTGAAGTGCCATGCAAGAGTGTACCAACGAAATAAAGAGTATGAAGAATTTACAAAGTAAAAAGCTTACTGTTTTCCTGATTATCACCAAGTCATGAGGTTTTCAAATACGTCACCTTATATTGCGTCACAAGTATGAGTGAAATATGTTAAGAATTCGAAAGAAAGAATTGCTACTCACTATGAAAGCCAAAATTGGCGGGTGATTTTGTAAAGTCTTTATTTTCTACAATTTCAAAACAGGTAAACGAGCGTTGCTAATGACGTTTCTGAAGGAACGCAGATACGTAATTACGTCTAATTTTTCTTCTACAGTAACAAATTTCTTGAATAAACCGCAAAATCGTACACTTTTGATTAAACAATTGTTTTTAAGATTAGTATTTGTTGTTAAGTTCTGGTTCAGTGGACAAATCATTATAATATGTTGCTTACTGAACTGGTAACGGCGTCYATCCGCATTCTRAAAGCAGAGAAAAMTTCACGTGAATAACGGTTTAGCTCTCGTCTTCCGGTAACAAATGTTTGGATAATGTCCACTCAAGTTTATAGTATCGTAAATAGGAACCCAACGTTTAGCCCAAATTCTGTGGACARTCCACCCGATTCAATACCTAYTGCATTTAGTCGAGAACATGATAACCTTGCTCCAGAAGATAAAACCGATCCATCATCGCATACTTATGCCGAACTACCAGGACTACAGAATGGGAATTCACGTCGACGAGTAG